ACATTAATGAGAATATTTGGCTCATTTCAATTCTCTTTATAAAGCTACAGGTTATTTTTTCCTGCAATGTTTGATTATGGTACAATTCAGGTAACAAAATTCAGCAGTTCTAACTGTCCGATTCAGTAGCGTGTGATACACTGTGCAGCCCTCACCACCGTCATCTTCTCCAGGATTCTTTTCTTCTTTCCAAACTGAACCTCTGTACCATCAGCTTTCCACCGGTCTTGTCTCCCAGCCCCAGGTATCAACCACTCTACTTCCTTCTATTATAAAGATGGTGACAGTCTGCATACTTCATGCAGGTAAAGCGAGTATTTTTTGTGCTTATTGATGGCACAGAATTGTAGGTTTCATTGTAGCACTTTCATGCAGGCATATGATATTTCTGAATCATACCTATCTTCCCTCCATAATGCTCTCTTACTCCTTAAGTAAGAGCTTCACACAGAATGAAGGACCCCAAGACAGGTGTTGGGGGAGAGAGTTGCTGTGTTGGGCTTTCAGGATCATCTTTGGCGCTTCCAGGGGGAAAGTGTTTAAAATTATAAATGTTTAGAAATTGCACATGCCCCCAGATTATATATCTGCTCATTCTGAGCTCTAATTTCTTCTGTGGTTAATAGGCTTAAACTAAATACAGATGTGAAAAGAAGGATTGAATTTAATATAGTCCTCGGCTGCCTTCTCATTTTACTCTGATTATGTTGTTCTCCTAGGATTGAGCTCAATGGGAGATAGGAAGGGAAACTAATACTTTTATTGAGTACAAGAGTAGTATTTTAAACTCTTTTGAAGAATGAGAAATCTCAGAGATGAAAAGGGAATTATTTACTTACTGCCTCTCAGTACTAATTAGAACAATTGGAATTTGAAGTCATGCCTGTCTGGCCAAAGCCTATAACGTCAATTCTTTGAGATTAAAAATCACCGCAAATATCTCTTTTAAGATAATTGATTTTTTTGAATTATATTTTCTCTTTCTTTCAAGGAGGACATCTCAAAAGCTCTCCATAAGTCACCTGCAGATAATTTATTCAAGGTCATAGCTCCTAAGCAGGGCCAGAACTAGCATTCAAATTTCTTTGCAGCATGATTCACTCACAAATAATTGCTGAGTCTCTGGCTGAGGAAAACACAGTTGTCTTGTCTCCTCCTCTGTGGAACTGATTCCTTGTGATACATGTCCTATTTTCCATAAATTAGAAAGTGATTAAATGCTTTTATTTTTTATTTTTTACAAAACAAATTTTAAAACACAACAAGAAAGGGATAAAGATAGATGTACGGTAGCTTTGCAGAGATCCCTAGTGACCATATATTCTACTGAATGGTTTGCATGCATTGTTTCTTTTGATCCTCCTCATCTGTGAAGGCTTTGGTTGGGTTTGGAGTCCCCATTTTTCTCTGCAAAGCTAAGGATCACAGTGGTAAATTTATTTTAGGTTACAAAATTTGGAAATGAGCTTTTATGGGATTTGAGCTGTGGTTTCCCTGGCTCCGATGTCCATATTCCATGGCATTGAGCCTCGCTCTGTGGGTCTCTCCAGCTTCTCTATCCCTTCATCTGCCTCCAAATCACACTCCTCCCCGCTTCCTCATTTCAAAACTCTAACAGGGGTCACCAGGGTCCTAGGTTTGCCAAAGCCAATGGCATTTATCTACCCAGTTTCAAACTCTCAGCTTTAATAACTGAAATTTCTCCTGATGAAGCATTGTAGCCTCTGGTTTCCAGTTACATCATTTATTTCATTCCTCAATGGACACTTCTAAAGTCTCTTCAGTCAATCCATTCCTCTCAGCTCTAATTTTTATCTATGTTAACACCCAAATCTCAGCACACATCCAGACAAATCTGTGCCTACACATAGATCACCATGTACACATGCAAGCGTTTCCCAGGTGTTTTGGGCACCAGGCTACTGCTGATCTGCCACGTGCCTGTCATCTACACTTACTGCTTATTCAGAATTTAACAAAACCTCAAGTCCTCAATCTCCATATCTATCTTTCTCAATGTTTAGAAGCCACTTTCCAAGTTAAAATCCAAATTCTGCTACCATCCATTCATTGTATAAACCAAAAATCTAATCTTCCCTATTCATTCCTCCTTCTTATATTCACCTTGCAATTCATTGGCTGGCCTCTTTGATTGGAACCGGACTCAGCTACTCCTCTTCTTACTTCTCCTAACAGTACAGTCCTAGTCTAAGTCAGCGTCACCTTCCCAGGCTACTGAAATGGCCCTAACAGTTCTCTCTGCTCCCCTGTGATCCATTCCCTACTTGGCCATTAGATGATTTTTAAGAGGATATATCTGATCGTTACCTCCTCTGTTCAAAACCCCTGGTAGTTTTTAATTTCTGTGTGTTGACCAAGTGCCCATTGCATAAAAGTTGTAAGAAATGCCACTTGCAGTAGGTTCTACTTCATAGAAGTCTACATTCGGACTTTCAAACTCACAGAGTCATAGGGGGTCAGGGCTCTCCATGGGAAGAAGATGCTGGCAAGGAGAGCTAAGAGATGCAGCTGCTGTGGTTGTTGATAAGGCTTGGGAGAGGCTGCAGGTTGCTATAGAAGACTGAAGCCAACCAGCTCTAGAACCCTAAATTTGACTTCATACCACATTCAGGAGCTTGCTCCTGTACACTTCTGAGCCAGAAGTGCAGTCTAGGATAACGGAGTGATGAGAGGGCCCAGGACGGCACTTTAGCTATGTTAGAATCAATAAATCCAGGAAGTAAGAGTTTCATGTTGCTCCAGCAAACACACAGGTCATGTTGTCTAGAAGTTAATGGACTAAGGAAAAAATGGAGCTCAGGGATTAATTGTCTGACTCATTAATCCAAGAACAACACAAAAAGACACATTTGTCTTCCACACAAAATCATACAAAAGTCTCTCTTTATTAAATATACATTATTTACAGTTTATGTCTTTCCTCTGTACAACAACAACCATAGAAAACAAAGAAATCTAAAACTAACTTTAATTTTTCCCATACAGTGGATTAAGATGTGTTATGTGACCTATAAAACTGATTTAGAATGAGGCAACATCACTGGGGTTTCTGTAACAGGAACAAAAATTAGAGAATCCAATGGGAGATTTCAGCAGATCCACACAGAGATGACCTGTTTTGCTGTTTTGTGCTTTTACTGTAATAAATATTCTAATGTTTATATATGTATATATAGTTATATTGGGGATGTGTTTAATATTTACTTAGAATTTCCCTTGCTCTCATTTCTCAGAAAAGAAGGCCCCAAACATGACAGAGGGAGACTAATTTCTCATTTGAAATGGACATTATAGTGTTTTGACTTTGGGACTGATAAATTGCATTCCAAGAACTAAATCTGAATTATTTCTTGTTCTTACGAGCCAGGTTGTGTTGGATGTGACCATGTGTGTTCATTTATACATAGCCAACTTCTGACCTTAGGATAGTTGGCCCAGGAAGTGTTTGCTCAAGGCACTGTAGGGTATCAGGATGCCTGTGAGCTTGCCAGATTCAGAAGAAAAAGTTCTTGATCTCAGGCCTCACCAAACAAAAAGTCCCTCTCACAAAATGAAGATTCTACTTTTAGTTAAATTTGGTATTTTTTGCAAGAATATTTAAGGCAGGAGAAGGTTGCACTTTGATGCCACCATTCAAAGAAAAGAGACTATGTTAATAGTTCACATAAAACCTTAGGAGCAGGAATTGACTATAATGCAAATGTATGAGTAGGCAGATGCCCATCCATACCCCTCAAAGTTGTACTGAATGTGACTACCCATCGGAGGACATTCAAAGAGGCCACAGGGCAGTGAAACACTCCTTCTGCATGTGCAGAGCTTTTCTCCATACTCTGTGTGGTGCTAGTGAAAGTAAGACAAGGCTCTAAGCACTACTACAGCTGGTGTAACCTGTGGTCAGTGACCTAGGTCTGTTTCCCTAGTTGAATCCTGTTATTTTGGAAAGAATTTTCCTGTGCAGCTTGGAAGATTGAGGAAAATGTCTAGTTTCCAGGTGATGCTATATGTTGGGAGGCTGCAGTATGCAGAGTAAAGGCTGGCAAGCATCCTGTCTTGTTATCGTTATGACATGACTATGGACGGCAGTACCGAGGAAGGGGGCAGAAAGACCATTAGACTGGCTCAAGGATCACAGGACTCCTCCCCATGGGCATATCTCATTCGGAACTGTGGACCTGATGAGGTTTTTGAAAGTTTATTTTCCTTAAATATCTGTTTAGCTGCTTTACCTGGTGAATAATTGATGACATTAGTAGTGATAGTCCTAAAGAACCCTGGAAAATTCTTGGTGAGATAAAAATCCTGAAAAAAATGTGGTTGGAGCAGGGCTTTGAAGAATTTAAAATGTCGTGCAAAGGGAGTAGCAAATTCCACAAGCAAAGCCCGTGGTGTTGCCTTTTCCCTCATATGTAAGACAATGGTCCCAATGCCAAAGAGACTCCAGAGCTAAGAGACAGAAAAGTGGGAAGAGAAATCACCACTGATTTATGCAGGGAGTGTTGATTATTGTCTCTAACAGCCCCTGACTGCTGCAATGAGTTGCCTGCCTCTTCCTCCTCCTGTTGCTAACAGTTCTGATGAAATAATAAAAGCAACTTTTGCCTTAACCCTTACTCCTTTCTGCTCAGTCACTTTGTAAACTCTAAAATTGCAAAAGACATGACTACTCACTTACAAAGTCCAGTATTTCATTGGAAACTCTGCCTTTACATACCTTCTCAAAATAGCTTCGTACAAGATAAGAGGGAAAAAAATCACTCAAAAATACAGCAAAACAGATCATTATTAAATTCTTACATGAAGGATTCAAATAATTGTCAAACCCAAACACAAAATATGAATGTTTCTCTCCCTAGTGAATAGATATGTATGTAATCTCTTGGAGAATGCTTGGGTAACAGCCTTATTTTTACTGTGTGAGTGTGTTAGTGTGTGTGTGTGTGTGTGTGTGTGTGTGTGTGTGTGTGTGTGTGTGTGTGTGTGTGTGTGTGTGTGTGTGTGTGTGTGTGTGTGTGTGTGTGTGTGTAGTTTTCCACTCTAGGTTGTTCAGTTCTTTGGAGATGAGAACTAGAAATGACTAAAATATGAAAACTAGGCCACTTAACATGTAAGAGGGGGTGAGTGGAGAGCAGAGGTTAAGAAAATATCCAAGAACTGTGTGGAGGTATCTCAGTTACACTATATGTCTTTTAAAGAAAACATTTTCAAAATGCATGCTGAACGTGAGGCAGCACTCAGTCATCCTCTAAGCATTCCAAAAGTTTTGAGATTTCCTTCACCATCTTTTATTAACTCCCTTTGCCATTTGCAGCATCAATGAATCTCATCTATTTATCTATCTACACCTGGCCTGCAGGACAATCGAACACTAAGTATACACAAGCCTTTAGCTTCAGGAAGACTGTGTGGCAGAACCATACAGATACCTAAAAAGCCCCTTGGGAGGCTAGTGCTGCAGTAAATGCTCAATGGATTACAGTTTTGGGAAGTTCAAAAGAAACCAGGGAAGATGGTGAAGACACTGTCAAAGCTTTACCTAATGGAAGATTCAAAACGCCTGGGTTTTATATCCCTGGATACTTGGAGAAGATACTTTGTACCTTCCCAATGCAACTGCTGTAACTGAGTGAATGTGGGGCAGAAAGAGGGCACCCATGACATTCAGGATTGGAGAAGTTCAAAGCAGGCATAGAAAGAAGACCTCATTTAGATGGACAAAACTTTTAGTCAGTTGTTTTATCAAGGACAAACTCATCTAGTGCTCAGAGGTTTCCCCGAGACAGCTCAGCAGTTTGAAGGAGGGTCGTGGGAAGGGCTGGACTAAAACAGGCCCCTTTCAGGAGCATCTGTGCAAGCGATGACGTGAGAACTGAGGAAAGAGGCAAAGGGAGGTGGAAGTACAGTCTGATATTTCACACCTCGACTAGGTTTCCAAGTCTTCACTTAAATCAGACACAGGTGAAGGAAAACTTCTAAAACTCCCCAGCTGAACTCAGCTCAACTCAAACAGAAGGTTACAGAATTCAGCTTCCTTCAAAGTGCGTTCAAGGGAAAGACTATTTATTCTTGCTGCCCCGACAAACGCTTCACTTCCTTCTATAGAAATCTTATCTTCATAGAAAGAGGTGTGCTTTGAAGAGAAGAAACAAAGCAGTTTATTGCAGGTGGAAGCAATAAATTCAATACAAATTAGATGTTTTGTCCAGAATATATAGGTTGCTTGAAGTCTCCAGCAAACAGTGTACAAAATATCTGCAGAGGACCTTGCCTCTGTGTTCTATAGCATTTTATGTACACTGTTACAGCAATATAATGAGCTTCCCTTGCTAGACTTTGAATTCTCAGGGGCAAGAGCAGGGTGTAGTTTCTGAATTTATATCCAATGCCTAGCACAACTCTTGGAGTGGTGGGCATTCAGTCTAATTGGTGAAGGGGCACAGAAGGAAATGAAGAGTCTATTCATCTATTCATTTTGATGATTGTGGTGGGCAGGACTGTGACAAAAGGCAAAAGGCAAGTTAGTGTCACCTCTGTTATCACTAAAGAGAAAAAAAAGTTAAAATATTATCCCCAGGATCCTTAAAATAAATCTCCAATGTATAGTTGAGTGTGAACAGAAGAGGCTAAACTATTCATAAAAATATACCTAGACCTGGAAAGATCACAAATGTCTATGTCTCCAGGTGAATTCTTATAGAAATCACAGCAAGCTAGCCTATAGACACAATGAATGACATAGTCGGTATTAATATATTTTAGGGAAAACAAATACACTGTCACTAGTATAAACTGATTTATTTGACAGAAATAATATCAGTGAAAGCTCCTTTAGAAGGTGAAATTGCACGGGTATTTTTGGTTTTAATGTAAGGTGATCATATTCCCTATTTCTTTTTCTTTTTCTTTTTTTTTTTTTTGTAAATAGCAGTTACCAGAGCCTGCATGTTCAAGAAGAGGGGACTATGGAGGTGTAGACGGCCAGGGACATGAAGTCAGGAAACTCGAATACGGTAGTGAGAAAAAGTTACTAAAGGATTCAAATGCTCTCAGAGTGCAGTTTTAGATTACAGATTGTTGGATGTGGAAACAGAGCATTGAATAATTACATAAAAACAAAGAGATCTTGGTACCACGGAGGAACTACAGGCCGAGTTATCACTGATGTCCCATTACAGAGTGTGTTTTGTTCAGAGGGTGCTTTCGGCTACATCTGAGAAAAGTCCTAGTGTTTTCTGGGGTTATGGGGTAATCCAGCCCTGTATAAAATAATTCAGATTTAGCCCTGAGACAAGTTATAACAGGGATGTGCAGAGTGCACTACCCTGACAGCCGTCCTCTTTCCGGGTCAGGCATAGTTAGTGAGTGCTCGTAGTCTGTGGATGTTGAAAAGGTGCCAGTGCAGTGTGTGGTGCGGATCTGGGAAAAGTGCAGCTTCGCTAAATTCTCCTCCCTACACGACTGTCTCCAAGAGTGCAGAAGTAGATGAGACAGCAAATTCTCCTCCCGGGCCTTCCTAGTCCTCCAGGTCCCGCTACCAGCACCACGTCAGCGCAGTACGGCCGTGACTTCTGGGAGACTAGAGGAAGGAAGTGTTCCGGTTTCATTCCTCACGCTTTCTTTCCATTTCATTAATGGAGATGCTTCAGGCTAAAAACGCTACATTCCACGGTGACTTTTATTTCATAGGACAAAGGAATACGTAGCCAAGCAAAAGGCTGACTTAGAGCAGCCTTTTTATGGAAATAGAAAAGTCAAAAGTGAAAACTGGGGAAGGGCAAGGAAGGGCAGGGGACGCAGTATATAAAGAGTTTTCCTGTTATGCAATCATTTGTCTTAGTAAAGCTAGAAAAATTTTTAAAAATGGATTCTTGTTAGAATCAATTGAAAATAAATTTACTATAAAAGCATAATCATATCCTCAAGGATGGAGTAATTAAGAACCCCCAGCAAATTTTAAGGAAAGCATGTGCATTTAGAAATTTCAGAGTTCAAAAATCCATAACCAACTCAATCCTCATGTCACAAACTGTGAAGGTGACATAAAAGCTGCGGACTGGAAATGGAGTGGAGCTAGTAAGCTTCTCACTGTGGGCCTCCTCATCCAGGGGAGCGTTCATCAGAGGCAAGAGACACGTTGACAAGGAGGTGGGCAGTTGCTAGTTCGCTGTCGAGGCTGGCTAACGGTGATGTGGTAATTGTCTTGCACATCGAATCTACCTTGTAAAGAGCAACAGTAAGTGCTTTCCACACCTATGGATCATTCTGTTGGGAGTTCTAGCATCCTAGAACATTTATATTGCTTGCCTCTTTTTTTGTTTGGTTTTGCTTTTCTCTTTTTGCAAGGTGTCAAGGGACAAAAGTTAGGCATATTGTATAGCAGTCATCTGAGTTCTTCCTGCCAACCATAGATAAGCAGAGAGGCCTTTTAGAAGAAGCAAATCACACACTTTTGTAATAAAAGAGGACAAAGAGCCTAAGCTTTATCACCACCTCATCTGGAAAAGTAAGTCTAACAAAATGGGTGCGTAAAAGGGCTACTTTTACACACTTACATATAACAGATTTGAAAATGTGATGTGCGCCAGGTTCAAAGGGCTACTTTAAAGTCAAGCAGTGGTTCCGGTGGAGGTGACCACAAGACCACATGCATCCGTGCGTCCTAAAACTCTGGACAATAGCTCAATCGTCAGAAGTTGATTTATCATAACTCTTCCAAATCATGGTTCCTGAAAATCTGCACTCACTTTATCATATCTTTTGTGAACGGCTTGAAGGAAAGAATTCTGTTTGGTATTTCTCTTCTTTCAAGAAATATATGTGTCTATAATGCTGAATTCAGAGGATTTAAGCTTTTTCACAGAACCAGATAGTATTTTAGATTTTTATTTAAATTCTTTATCTTGCAGTAACTTATATGTCTATACTTGTTTGTTTTCAAAAAACTCAGTTTAATAATCCCAAGAATAACCTAGCTTATATGTCCCAGGAAATTGGAGGAAGCATATTTTGAAGTTAAAGGACATCTACTTCCTAGCAGCTTTCTTTACCTCCTACTGTCAAGCTATGATTCAGTGTGTCCCCTCTGTTGGTGCTGCTATGTGCTGGTCTACAGTGTTAGCCCCAGAACAGAAAGGCGCAAGGTAACTGGTCGCTACTATTTGCAAGCCTATATCTGAAAATATCCAGGCGGTAAGAGTTATAGTTTTAAAAAAAAAGGGTGATGAATTCAGGCACAGGAACACTTGTGGTAGGAAGATGAAGTCAAAACAAACATACCTGCCTTGTGCTTCATGAAATGCCACTGAAGCCATCTCTCTGCCCTGGGTCTCTTGGAACAAATGGACTGGGGGCGTGGGGGAATATCAAGGATGACTGTTAAATGCCTGTATCACAGAACTCCAGTTCAAAGTAAGACTCTGAGGCAGGGACTGAAGAACAGAGTGAATTCGAGAAACTGGAACATAGGGCTACATTTGCCCATGTGCACACGTGTCTCTCTCTTGTCTAGAACAGTAAAGTCTGTGCCTTGTGTGTTAATTTTCACATCAGTGCCTGTGCCAGAGAGGAAGGAGTGGCCGTAGCTGCTTAGTCTCCTGAGCGGGGTCAAGTGGATCGATGCTGTGGCAGATAAAGATATGTTCCAGAAAACAAATGAGAAGCCAGTAAGAGAAAGAGGAGAACAACAAAAATTAAAATACAGGAGAGAGAGGAGGAGAAAAAGTTAACAACTACAAAATGATTATTGGGTGGCCCTGAAGTTTCTCAGATGAAATATTCTCTTTTGCACTCGCTCACTGTGTTTTGCAAGTCAATATCGTTCCTGAAGGAGCTGCCCAGGTTTTCGGGGTACTCCTTCTCCTTCATCTGGTTAGTGCGGTGGGACTGCTTATGCTGGTACAGGAAGCGGATCATGACGCCAACCACGCAGAAGGTGATGAAGATCACCACGGCTATTACTCCTGCAGGACACGAGCGGAAGGGAGAAAGCAAATGCCACAGGTCACTGCTAAGCAGAGAGAACTCAGGGTAGGCAAAGAAGCACTTTGAGGAAGCAAAACAAACACAACTCTGCCAGTCGTCTCAAATTAAAGTTTGCCGAAATGCTTTCAGTGTGCGATTGTTGTAAAGCCTAAGACACCTTCTTTCAGATCAGTGACAGAAAAAAAGCCAGGTTAAACCTTAATGGGTTTTATTAAATGGCCTAAATGTCATCTTACAAATATGCAATTGGAATAGCAAAGGATTTTTGTTATTTGTTTGTTTTGGGTTTTCTTTGGGGAGGTGCTGGGGACTGAATCTAGGACTCTTCACGTCCTGATGAAATACGCCACCACTGAACTATGTTCACAGCCCAGCAAAAGTCTCTTGGTAGTTTTTCAAGATCTTTAAAACACTGTGCTAAAATTCTTTAAATTATTATTATTTTTTTTACTGTCGTCATGCAACTAAGAATTTCCTAGAATAAAATATTTAAATGTCTTTCATCCCAGCACATACCCTCTTAGGTAAATTTGTTTTGTGTTACAAGTTTGTTTTACTAGAAAGTATTCATTAATCATGAAATGCTTACCCACAATTTAGGGCATTCCTAACTTGCTTTACGTTCTGCCAGACATGGCCCACTGAGAGCTGGCACAACTCCATCCTTGTGAAACTTGTATTGGACTGAAATGCCAGTTTCTTGTATTTTGTTTTTCTCAGCAGTACAATATTGATAAAAGTATCTATTTTAGAAACATTGTTGGACACTTTGCATTACGATTGACATAAGCATGGATAATGGATACTTAAATACCTTGATGGCATGTCTTCCCCCAACTTTTTGTAGAGTTTAGAAAATAATTAAGATTGCTTATATTTTTCTATGTTCCTAAGCCATTATATAACACATTCTCAAATTATCTAAGAAGAAAAGCGGAGCAAAACCGCCAGTTAACAAGTCTATGATTATGGAGTGGCAGTGAGTGACTCCCACAAGGGGGCAGCAGCTGTAAGGCAGGAAGGAGGGAAGGGTTTTTATCCTCCTAGTGCATCAGTTTTTCAGGAGGTAGAGGCCATACAAGCCTCTAGGAACCTTCCAGTAGGGTTAGGATGACTTTCCTACATTTACGGAAGCTCACAGAAACATACACATGAATGGTGAAAAGTCAGCAGTCACAAAAGTCTTCTCTCCACTTGTCAAATGAAAAATTACAGAAAGAGAAACTGGTACAAAGTACTTTCTGCATTTCTTGGTGTCAACAAAAACACCAAGTTCCCTGAAGCAGAAATTGAGCTGAGCTGTTTCATGGACTTCCTTGAGAAAAGGTCATAGTTCTCCTTCCTTACTTTTAACAGCCACGGCACACATGGGATCCAAGTGTGCTTTCTCCCTCCTAAGTCTTCCCTGGGTGTCCTGCTGTCTGCCTGTTCATCCCCTGCCCAGCCAGGCTGGGAGTTCTACAGAGTCAGAGTCCATATCGTTCATCCTGTATTCCTACATTTAGCTAAGGGTCTGATCCATAGCAGGGCACAGTAAATACAAGTTAAATGCACGGGTAGTGCTGACTTTTAAAGGAGAACTGCATCTTGTGTGGATCAGTTCATCCACACTGCTGGAAGGCAGGGATGGGGCATCTGCAAGGGTGATGCGTCTCAGGTGGAAATTAATTTAGTCTCTCTCAGGCATCTTACATTAAACAAGGTTTGGGAGCTGTTGTCTGTTCCAGACCCGATAGGAATATCAAGCTAATGTAGGCAGCAGCCAATCTGAAGGCAGAATAAAGAGGTGAGGCCACAGTTGGACAAATGGAAAAGGGAGGGAGGGAGGCTGGAGCTGAGCTGACAGGGGTGCAGACAAGACCTTCATCTGTAGCCATATGTGTGCCTGATTTGGAACTGCAGTCCTGCTGCTTGTTTCCATTCTTAGATTGAATCCAAATCACTTGGTAGAGAAAGCCCAACATGACTGCGGCTTTGCCTATCTGTCTGCCCCGACAAGGCTTCTTCCCCTCTGTAACTTTATTGGTCTGCTTTGTTTAAGGTTTGGGGAAAGGGAAAACTGACGGAGATGAATAGCGTCAGGCTGCCTGTATGTAAGCGAGTGCTCCAGCTGTTGACTCCGTGATCAGCTGTCGGGTAAATCAGAGGCAGGATGAATCTGCAGATCTGCGGGCACAGGAGCAGGGCTTGTCTTTGGTCCTGCGGCACATGTGACTGTTCCTGAACGGCTCACAGCCTGTCAGGTGATGTGCACCTCTGGGCACTGGTCGCCATAGTTAGAAAAGGCATCAGACGATTTCCCTGAGGTACCAGATGTATAAACATCTTTTCCTCTTCCCACACCAAAGAATGGTTTACCTCCAATGACTGCGGAATCGCTTCGAACTGCATTAGTGAGTGGTTCTCGTTCATCTCTCTTCCCAAAGGGATCTAAGAGGAGTAAAAGACATGAAATTTCAGTCTTCCCTCAAAGCACTGGAGGAGAGGGTTCAACACGTCTGTGGGCTGCACCACATACTCTCAAACAGTGAGAAGTGGTGTTTTGAGAGGAGCCCAGACAAAAGTGAAAATGTCGAAATAAACTGCTCCCAACCTAGAGATGCAAGACCTACTGGCTAATACATATGCTGTAAGATAAAGAGCGGAGCCAGATGCTGGAAGTGGCTGGGCCATATGCCCTCAGCTTTCCCCTGAGGTCCTCCTGGGCTTGGACGGACAGTTCCTGTGCATGGCAACGGCTCCTACCCCAACCACAGGAGCCTCTCTCCTCTAGTATCTTCTTCAGTTGTAAGAATATTCTGAGACCACTGGCAAAGAAAAACGGTTCTGGAAAATTAACAGCCCCAGGAAGGGCCCTCATTAAGTAAGTAATTGTACTATGTATCCATTATCATATACAGTATGAATATACTCTATGTATCTTACTCTATACAGTACAAGAAAATGCAAACATCAAATTCTAAGATGCATAAATCTGGGCCCGAACCTTTGCTCTAACATGGTGTTCCAGTGACATTGCACAAGATTTATTTTTAAGTAACAATTTGTACATCCATTAAAAATGGGCAGTGATATGTATATGAATGTGTATAATACATATAAAATTCCAGCATCTGGTAGATATTACACACCTAATAAATAGCAGCCATCAGGATTATTTATCATTCAATTCTCAGGGAAAGACAAACAATAATTTTTGACAGAAAAGACAATGTAATTGACGACATTATGAAACTTGCTCAGTGTCAGAATGCAGACCGATGCTGTCTACCTGTCTCATTAAGGCTCTTTCCACCTTACGCAGTTCTGGCCAGGAAAACACCAAGGTGGAAAGTGAGAACTTAGGAGAAGAGAGGAGAGGTATTGTGAGCGAGAAAAGGTACGGTGGAAAACACAGAGGCAGGAAAAGGAACGAAAGAAGGGGAAAGGGAGGAAGAGAAAGAAGGAAGAAAAGAAGGTGAGGGAAGGAAGGGAGGAGCAAAGAGGGCAAGGACATTCTGAGCTAAAAGCATTCAGCAATGATTACATTTCCTGTGTTCTCAGAAGCTCCTTACTCCTGCCTACTCCTATCTCAGTCCTCCTCCCTGGGATTCCTCGTGCTTCTTTATTAATATACAAATTTCAACTACGCACCAGGGTTCTTTTTCACACGACTTTTTTTTTTACTGTAATTTACCTTGGTTCCTTTTTTACTGCGTTTTAACATTATAAACCAATGGAGCTTTGATTTTCACCCAGATTTCTAGGACATTTTCATGTTCTTAGATTAATACATGTTAATTCTAATTCTCTAGTGTTTATTAAAGCTACAAATAAACATTTCAGAATTGATAAGATGATTGCATCAGGAACATGATTAGAAACACACACATATGCGCGGTGCTTCTACACGTGCGTGAGGAACACTTCCTTCGAAGTCATCTTCAGTGTGGTGATTCATTTATTTCAGGAGTGTGCCCTATCTTCATAATGTGTCTTTTCAAACTTTGCAGTGATATTTTAATCTCAACTCCCTTTACCACCAAACAAATACCTTAAGTACTTAGACATATCTCTGTCTCTCCATACCTATGCAGCTAAATGTTATATACACGAACATTTCCTGAGAACCTCCCGTGTTTGCCTTTTGATAACAACCATCCTAATGGTTATTTTGATTCTCATTTTGCTGATTATTAATGATTTTGAGCACCGTTTTATATACCTACCAGTCATTTGTACAACATCTTTAGTAAAATGTGTACTCAGTTAATTTACAAAGGTAATTAGTTTGTGTATGAGTTCCTTGCATATTTTGAACTTCGATGTCTCATCACAGTATTTTATAAATGTTTCCCATTCCATAGATTACTTTTTCATGGTCTGATCATTTCCTTTGCTGTGAAAAATCATTTTAGATTTATGTAGTTTCATTCATTTTTCATTTTGTTGCCTACATTTTATTTTTTCAGCGTATCAACAGAATCATTGCCAAGACTAAGGTAAAGACATTTTTCTGTGTGTTTTTTTTCCCCAGAAATTTTATTGTTTTCTATCTGAAATGTAAGGCTTTGCTCTTCATTTCATGTTAAGTTCTGTTTTTGTTTGTTTGTTTGTACCAGGGATCAAACTCAAGTTAAGTTCTTTATATGATAACAAAGATCAAATTTCAGTCTCTTGGTTGTAGTTATCTAGTTTTTCCAACATCATTTATTTAAAAAATTGTCCTTTGCCTTCAGGCATTCTCATAATGCTTGTGAAATATTAGTTGAACACCTATACCGGGGCTTATATCTGTGCTCTCTATTCTGTTGCTTTGGTCTATATGCCAATTTTTATGCCAGTTATCATAGTATTTTGATCAGTATGCTTTTGTAATAGAATGTATGTGAAATCAGGGCCCATGTTGACTCTAAGACATCTGTGCTCCCATAACCACTGGAATATATAAATATTTATAATATTCAAAGTGTGGAAAAAACTATTTCTCAACATATAGATAGATAGATAGACTTGTGTGTGTGTGTTGCATGTGGTATGTGCATATAGAAACAAAATGAAATATTTTTTGGCCTTAAAAAGCTACTTAACACCGTGTGCAACAACAGAGTTGAAAATAGAGGACATTATACCAAGTGATATAAACCAGCCACAAAAAGAAAGGGAAAGACTACATTATTTCATTTATACATGTAATCTAAAATCAGATGAATCCATAGAAGCAGAGAGTACAGTGGTGTTTTCCAGGATATGAGGTACAGAGAAATGGTACAGTTGATTGATAAAATTTATAAGCTCTTAGTTATAAAATGAATATGTTTTGCTGAAATATATTATAGTTAATCATATGGACTTTTTCTTGAAATTTTCTAATAGCCTAAACCTTATGTCTTCATGAGAAATATACATACACACAAGGGTAACTATGTGAGGCAATGGATATGACTACTGATTGCATTGTTATATCATTACATAGTACATATGTATACCAGATCATCACATTATACACCATCTATACAATTTGTATTGTTAGTTATTCTTCGTAAAGATGGATAATTTTGTTGATTGTCATAATATGAATTATATATAATATTAATTCAGCAACCAGCCTTCTGTCTTCCTAACTCCAGAATACTTTCTCAGAACAGTAGCCACTTAAATAATAGTGACTACATAGAGATATACTCATGCATATACTATGCATATGTGTATTAATTTAAGCAAAAATGCTTATAATTCTAATTGCTTCTTATATGAAAATGAAGATCACTCATGGAAAACAGTTATGATCTGTAATCAGCTGTAAGCATGGAGGGAAAAGAACTGAGTAATTTTGGCTGAGACTTTATGCTGGGGATTTCTGGAATACACCAAAAGTATGCTAATCCAGGAAGTTCTATTGATCACTCTCTGGACCATACCTGAGGACGAATGCACAGTGGTCCCTGCATCCACATCTGAATCGACCACAACGTCACAGCTGGATTCTTGCAAGGTCCCATGTACAGTCACGGGGGCAATGTTGGCATGACGCAGGGCTGCCTTCAGAGGTGCTATGTGATTATACTGGACTGAAGATAGACATCCCACAAAGCCCACGGTGTTGGCTTTAGCAATTTCAGAATCCAATCCAATATCCTCTACAATGAAAAAGACAATCAGCCGTCTCTCCTCCAAAAGCATGCTCCGTGTCCCCTTTGAGTATTGAATAAAATGACAGAATTATCTTCTCATTCTTTGCATAAAGAAAACACTCCTCTTATCTCCTTTCACCTGCTGTCTTTAACTTCATTCCATTGCAAGAATGAATATATGAACCATACTTCCTAGAAAACTGGTAGTGCCATGTCTTCTTTGAGATAAAAAAATATTTCAAATGTCTACATTTCATGCATGTATTTTATGAACTGTATAAAAGACAGTAAATGTACTATATATACTAGATGTTTGATAGAGTTTGTACCACTTTCCTCAGCACCATCTGCCTATAGATGCAAAAGATTAGTGCTCCTTCCAACACTTCCCTCAAAAACGCAGTAGAAGAAAAAAATGGTAGACGGATGAGATTAAAAGTTGCAGTCATCCTCCCAGAGATTTATCACGTTCATTGTTTCCAAGCACTTGTACAGACTGACGTAGTAAACATTTTTCATTGTTCTGGTTCTGTCCATGGTACTCCCTGATGAGAAAGAAACTTCTTTTTTTGGACAACATACAGTTTCACAAAGAATATCTTAATCTTTATAAAAGATGATGATGCAACTATTTCAGATTTTGAACAAGATTATAGGTGTCATTTTCGTCAAGATTGGTGATATTACTTTGTTTTATGTTTCCTTCTCTTAAAATGGTCACTTGAATAAATTGATACAATGCAATTAAGTAAAACCGCAATACATTATGAACCAATTTAAAGGCATTATACTTTTAACATAACTAGATGGCTCAAATGGTTATTTTATTTGAACAATATTTTTTATTTCCTGGAAGAGGGTCAGGGATTTTCCTGTCTACCCTTATAATTTTGTTTGGGTTCATAAATTGTCAGAATGTCTTCACTGACTTCTAAGCTGTGTTCTGTTGTTTACATTAAGAAAAAAATGTGATGAGGATATGGTATAAAATGAAGATTTAACATATTTTGAAAGTACTTTCTCTAACTTTTGCCCTCATTTTACTTTGCACTCTGAAAAGCCTGTAAAACTAACCAATTTATCATCTCTTTTCATACAGAAGACAGTAACTATGTGTTATAATTTTATTTGACTGCTTTAACAAATTTCCACAAACATAAACAATTTATGTTAGTGCCTTTTAAATTTGAAAGTATATTCTTTAATTTAAATTAGGTTACAATTCTGGCACAGTAGTTATGGGGCTAAAAACACTGCAGTCAGAAAGGTCTCATTTCTTTGACAGGTTTGGGGGATAAAACATTTCTTTCCCATTTTTAGCTTCCATAAGTCACACGGTTTCCATGGCTCAGCCTCTTTTGTCTGTCTCCAAGATGAGCAACTTTACTTTTCTCTGTCCCTTGTTATCGTACTCACATTTTCCTGGAAGTCTTTTCTTTTGATTCCCCTTTTCATTTTTAAAGACTTTTTTGATTACAATGGATTTATCCTGCTAATCCAATAAATGTTAGTATTTTAATACAGATTGATATGAATATTAATTTCATTTGCAACCTTAATTCCTCTTTGCCCTATAAACCAATGCACACTAAGATTCTGGGGATGAGGAAAAGGATAGATATGTCTGTGGATCATCGTTCTGCTCATGATTTCATGTCTGAGATCCTGGAAGGATATTCTGGACAGTGATAATGAAGATAAGGTATCACTTTTCTTCAGGTATGAAAGAATCCTGCAGTTTGTGAAGAAATCACCAACTTCTAGGTATTCAATACATATCCTACAGTCATTATATGTTTATTACATACTAAGAAAGGGATCACATATATTTGTTATTGTGAGCTTTAAAATAAAGTCTTTGTGGATTGGGAGGGACAGACGGGTTGAAGAGAGGACAGGGGAATGGGGAAAAAGTAAGAACCAGGACTGATTATGTAAAGGTACAAATAGCCAACAATGAATGTCCTTATATTGTATACATTAAATGTACCAAAAATTAATTAAAGTTAAAAAACAGTGTCCCTTGTGATATTTCTCACACATTGCTGCATAAAAGCCTTACAATCAAAAAGCTGTAATAGGCTAGAGGCTATTACCTCATGTCACTGAAGCTCCATGTCCCCAGCCATGATCTGGAATTATCAGTATGCACTGATTTGCAGCTAGCAAATGGTATGATTTGATGTGAAAATATTTAGATGAAGAAGCCAAAGACAGGAGAAAACAAACATCCTCTGTGCAAAGCTTTCGCACCGTAGAGATTTAAAGCAGTGGGAAGTGCCACACATTGCAGCTATGCCTCGTGGCTCACCTTCAGAGGTGCCAACTCGCATTCTGAGAACTCAGTTGGAAAGAAGCCCACATTGGTGCCAAGGACTCAGGAGGACATCAGCACAGTGAGGCTCAAGAACACAAGCTCCAGGCACAATTGCAGGCACTTGGATGAGTTGGGTGAAATGCCAGAAAAATGTCACTCTCTCCTGAGAGGAAGCAATACTTTCAATGAAAAGCCTTACCTCTAGGGAAAAGTTTTTTATTCTAGATAATAATAAAAATGGAGACTTTGAGGTGTTTCTGAAAAGAAATAAAGAGAACAAAAATGTGAGGAAAAGAACTCTTACTATGAGGCCTCCAGATTATGATTTCTTAGATTCTTACCTAATGGAGAGGTTAAAAATTTATAATAATTCCAAATATTTTTTACTTCTTATAATAGTATTAACTAATATGTGGTAAAATAATAACAAATAAAATATTAAGTAAATAAATAATAATAAATAAAAAGTTGCAAAAACTCAGCATCCCCCATCCATTGAGTAACAGCTCTATGTTTCTGTGATAATTGACTTTTAAAGTTTTTTTGTTTCCCTCCCAAGCTCTTTCAGATATTTTTTGTTAGACTCCAAAAAATGTATAGGTGAAGCAACTTGGGGATGCAAGGAAGTTAGTAGATATTATGTGATAGAGTTGAGATTTCAATATAAGATTTTATGGCCTCAAATTCCACACCACTCATCTAAGCAATGCTGCTGCCCTCAAAAATAAAAGATAAGAACCTCAAAAACATTTCAGAATAATTTCACATGAATTATCTAAAAGAAATAGGTGGCAAAACTAAGGAAAGTTATTTTGGTGGAACATTTTAAATAATTCCTTGAATTCTACATTAAAGACAATATATTTCCCAATCCATTTAATAAGTTACAATTGAATTAGGATCACAAGGAGACAGGTGAGGGAAATATTTGATGTGTTGCCCTGGAGAACAAATATCAAAGTCAAGTTTAACAGTCCATGTGACTCCTCAAAAACTACAGGATGAGGATGCAAGGATCACACCACTGAAAATACCTGTATTCTCTTTTTCACTCTTCCCAACTAATATATAAAATGTCCAAATAATCAAGTGTGATGCAAGGGTTTCTCTTAGTAACAAGTGCTGCTATTTTGAGAAATAGATTTCTTATATGAAAATCTACTCATTTTTTATTTAATATAGACTTAATTTATCCTCACAACGCACTTGAAATGGTAGGAAAGCAGTTTCTGGTGTCCTATGCATTCTAGACCATTGCATTTAAATCCAGCTGCAGAAAGCAATATGAGATGCTGACAGATTACAGGTGGAAAGGCAGACCTGAGAGGTTTAACCACAGCTTAACCATAGTTTAACATAGCTGAGCAGCAAATACTGTCTCTGCCACATGAACTGTATTGAAATATATATATATAAGAAGTCTATAACTATTAGTTTTGTGCCCATATAGACTTGTTAGTGAGGGTTGTGTTCATTTATATTAATATATGGCTTGTGTCTAGACTTCACCCCAAAGCCTTATGTGGTCATAGATTGGACTGTTTAGAAGTGGCTGGACCTAGAGTGTGTGATGTTGGAATTAAGGGTGCGACTCTGGAGTTTATTCATAGTGTGTTGTGAGGATCAAGAGTGCTCCACCTTTGGCGGGAGTGCTATCTGCCCTAAGGCCTGCTTTCTCACTGCTTGTTGCTTGCTGCTGCTGCTTCCTTACTTTGTTGCTTGCTGCCTTCTGCCTTCCATGAACTGTTTCTCTTCTGTGACACCCCTCTACCACATCACCCCGCTTCAGAGCCAGCCAATTATGAACTGAAATCTCTATAAACTGGGAGCCAAAGTAAACCTTTCTTCCTTTAATTTGGGTGTCTGGTATTTTCTCTCCAAGGTACAATATGCATTGTGGGATATAATCTTACATATTTACCATTTTTGTGGTGAGAATACTTAAAATATATTCTTTTAGTAATGTGCAAATATTTAGCATATTCTTAATTGTACAATAGATTTCGTGATCTTATTATTCCTTGTCTAACTGAAATTTTGTGGGTTTTGGCCATTTTCCCTAAAAAGTGCATGGTATCAGAAGTAATACTTGTACAGTAGTAATAGTTTTTACTCCTATAGTTTCAGTTCCTAATTCCTTTATGTAGTTTAATGTCCCTCAACATACTCAAGAAAAACTGTATTTACAAAAAATATGAATGCTATTGTGCTTGCTTTGCTGTGCTGATGTGTCTTCATGTCATACTGACTTAAAATTGAACATCGTAGAACTCAAACATTAGTTGATTAAATTATTAGTAACATCTTTGGTTGTTTCAAAATCTAACATTCTGCACTAATTTTCAAACACTCTTCTTTCTTCAGAGTCAAGCTGCATTCCTTTACTATACCTGGGTGATTAGTGCTGAAAAGAAAGCAGCGCAGCCAATTTTAGCCCCAGAATACAGAGCACTTGATAGAGTTGCATTTGTTCGACACCATGAGAGTGGTAGAGAAAATCCAGGCTAATTTTATGCAGGCACATTTTTTGTGCTTTTTTAATACTAAGAAAAAAACAGGATTAGAAATTTGCTAACAGACATTTCTCTAGGTTATAAAATGACATTTGTTATATGTCAAAACTCATTTCTGGCATTTGAATCATGAAGTGTCACAAAACAAGCCATGCAAATGCACACAATCTTTGCTT